TCGGGACCCAAACCGGAGCCGGAGGAGCGGGTGCCCTGGGCCCCAGGCGCAGTGGGGCGGAGGCTGGACACCAGGCGTGGGCCGGGGGTGCCGGGAGGAGGCGGCTGTGTGTCGCAGGGAACGGGCACGGAGAGTCTCAGCAGGGACATAATAGGATCAGATTTTAAAACCTCATTTTGAAGTCACTAATGGGGAAGCAGCGGACAGGGAGGTTCCCACCCCTGTGACCTGGTCTCCGCAGGGCCAGCAGCTCATGGGACTGCAGACGGTCCGGAGACTCGGGCCCCAGAGAGCCCCCTGCGTGAGCACGAGGACCGAGCGGGGGCCGGAGCAGTGGGGGGCGAGGCACAGGGCTGTTGGCGGGGGGACGCGGGCCAGCCTCGGCTCTTTTCTCTCCCTGACCAGAACTGGGCCTTTAAACTCCAGTTTTCCCCTGTACTGCAGGCTCCTCGGCTCTCACGTCGGAAATACCGAGTCCCCAAGGCTCGTAGAAAACCCTTCGTTCAGCGACCGGCAGGCCAGGCCGACGCCCCTGCAGAGCACCCCGCCTACTCAAGGTGCACAGAATTCCCCAGAGCACAGGCTGGGCCGAAGTGAAGAGGTTTTCGTTGGTATAAAACTGGATGTGTGTGTCTGTATGCATTTGTTTATATATGCACAGAAAATTGTTTCTGGGAGGTGTGCAGAAAACTGTTTAACAGTCACGACCACTGGGGCGTGGGACTTGGAGGGGCTCAGGGAGAGGATTTTATCACATCCCCTTTGTACAGGCTTTGTGTCGTCAGGGGCTGCCAAGCTTTCACGGCACAGGCCGGACAGCAAGCAGCTCAGGCTTCGCGGCCGTACGCGCTCCCTCACAGCCGCTGGGCCGGGCGCTCCGACGCAGAGCAGCCGCGGATAACATGGAGGTTCGTGAGTGTGGCTGTGTGCCAGTAAGACTGCTTAAAAGCAGGCAGTAGAAAGAAAAACAAAGCACAGGTGGCAAACCAGACCTGGCCAGCGGGGGCACCCTTAGTTCACATCTTCCTCCAGGACGAGCACTGCTTTTGTAATAAAATGAATTTAATTAAGTTAGTCAGGTAAAAACAAAGCAAAGGCTAGCAAGCACGTGGGTGCACCTGTCCAGCACCAGCTACATGGAGGGTCCGGGGACCTGTGCGCCTGTCAATGAGAAGCTGATAATCTGCTATGTGTCGGGGGGGGGCCTTGCTCAGTGGTGGAGCACGGGCATAGCATGCACGAAGTCCTGAGTTCAATCCCCAGCACCTCCATTAAAAATGAATTAATAAACCTACCCCCCCAAATTTAAAATACGCTATACAGTGCTTTTAAGAGCAAAGGATGTTTTAAAATCAATCTTCAAAAAGTTAGGGAATCTCTTGTGCATTTAAAGTTCGGTGCCATGTACGTTTATCACCAATTTTCAAACAAAGTAAGGTTAGGCGTCGTGGCTTTCCACAGTAGTTCTCTGACTGCTCCTAGAAACCCTCCCGGCCAGGCTGAGCAGGGGTCCACGCGAACAAGGAAAACAGGAAAACGCACAGCAAAGGACAGGACTCACTGTCCATCGGACACACACGCGTCTGGCGTCATTCGCGCTCCCGTGGCGCCACAAGGCCCTCGGACACACATGCATCTGAAGAGCCAGCTGAGCCTGGGAGACGAGCCACAGCCCAGCACCCCAGGCCCGTCCCTCAGTAGCCGTGTCTGAGCAAGCCCGCCATCTCTGATCTTACCCTCCTCATAAAGAATGAAACATACCTCACAGGGTTGCGACTTGGACTAAGTGAATCACTGTAAGTAAAACGCTCAGACTAGTGCCCGGTGGACCGCAGGTGTCCTGTCGCCACAGTCGGAACCCAGCAGGCAAGAGAAGTGACAGCCCATGTGGCCGGGGAGAAAGTCCGTCGCAGGCCAGGCAGAGCGGGACGCTCCTGCTGCGCCCTGCGGCTCTGGGTGTGTTCCTTCCCTTAACTTGCTTTTCTAAAATGCTTCAAACACACAGAAACACTGAGAGCTCAGCACCGCGGGAGGACCCTACACGCTTTCCACCTAATTAACAGCCGCTGATCTTTCGTTCTGTTTGCGCAGAGACGTGCACTCACACACTAACACATGCAGAGAACATTTTCTTGAACGACTTGAAAACACGAAGTGGACAGCACTTCGCCACCAAGCGCTTCGGGGTGCACCTCCTAAGAACAAGGGCACGGTCTCGAAACACCAGTATTATTCCTAAGGAAACTAACAGCAAGGTTTTAAATTTAATGTCCAGCCCGTATTCGAATCGGAATGATTTCGGCTCTTAAGTGATGCGCCTGGATCGCCGTGGGGCGGTGAGGGAAGGGCTGGAGGAACACAAGGCGAGTCGGGCAGTTACGGGGATAACCCAGAAGAAGAGCGCGGACAGCCTAAGCCAGGGCCGCGGCAAGACAGGAGGGACAACCAGAAGGGGACGCCACCCTGTCAGCCGACTTAACTCAATCAAAAAAAAAGACAGGGAGGGAACTGAGGCCTGCGCAGATTCACACACTCACGTACACGAGTCAGCGTACGAAACTGGCGGAGTGCAGCGGTGGGGACAGTGGGATGTGCAGGGCGACTCTCCGATTAGTGGTTTGGGTGATGCCTGAAGGGGGCAGAACTGCAGGAGAGAGAGGGTTACGTGGCTGGAAGCAGAGGCGTGGAGTTCGGAGGGAGGTGGAGACTAAGAGACACAGACTGACAAGCAGTTTTAAAGCCTAAACCGAGCTAATCATCGGCTCAGAAGGTTTGCAGGAGTCGCCCTCAATATACAAAAAATCAGCTGCATTTCTATATACTAGTAATGAATAATCTGAAAAAGAAGTTAAGAAAGCCATTCTATTTACAAGGGTATCAAAAATTAAATTCAACAGAAGAAAAGCAAGATCTGCACACTGAAAACCACAGGACGCTGCTGACACACATCCAAGCGCACCCGGACGGGGGCCCGGCCACGGCCGCGGGGCAGGCAGCGGCCGCGCTAAGTACCGTTAGGTTGACAGCGCTCCCCAAGTTCACTCCCAGAGCCAGCACGATCCTGACCAAGATCCCAGCTGGCTTATTTGCAGAGACTGACGAGCTGACCCTAAAACTTACATGGAAAAACAAAGGGCAAGGGCACAGAGGAGCCAAAACTAGCTCGGAGAGGAACGAAGTTGGAGGGCCCACGTTCCTGACTTCAAAACCTGGGACAAAGCTACAGTGACCAGGGCAGGGAGGACCAGCCAAGGACAGACGTAAGGGTTAATGGAGTAAAGCTGCGAATCCAGAAATAAATGCAGATGTTTACGGTTCACTGATCTCCAACAAGAGTGCCATGATCAGCCAGTGGGGAAAACAGGCTTTTCAACAAATGGTGCTGGGACATCTGGACTGCCACTCATCGAAGAATGAAGGTGGGCCCCTACCTCACGCCAGCCAGAGCAGCAGGAAGAGACCGAGACGGGATGCGGCTCACAAGGAAGGGGAGAGCCTGATGGAGAATCTGGAGAGGATTCTCCTTTTTCTCCTTCAAGATGAAAGAGCAGTTAGCAGCGTTATAACTGAGGAAGGAGCCAACGGAGGGTAAGAGGCTGAAGATGCAGAAAAGCAGTGTGTGTGTGTTGGGGGGCGAGGCGAGGACCCAGGGCATCAGGCGAGGGTCGCTCTTGGCCGGAGGGACCGCCCCACAAGTCAGGACTGGTGAGCCACGCGGAGGGAGCTGGGGAGGCCAGTGGGGGCGGCTCTGGAGGCGCCTGCGTCTTGGCTGAGGAGGAGGTGAGCCTAGTACGGCAGGAGGCGAGGCCACGGTGGGAGGCTGAGGATGGTTGACTCCGGATGGAAGGACAGTGAGCGGACCACCCGCCGAGCCAGCTGAGTGAGAGGGAGTGGTTGGCTGCGTCTGGTGGCCCCGTATCTCTTTCTCGCCCTTTTCCCTTCCCCCTGTACTGAGATGCCACTGACATACAGCACCATGTGCATCTAAGGCGCACAGCATAATGACTTCCGGACGTCATGAAACGATGACCTCAGCACGTTCAGTGGACGTCTCTCGTCTCACAGACACAACATAAAAGAAAGGTTTTCCTCGTGATGAGAAAGCTCAGGGTTCACTCTCTGAACAGCCTTCACGGCAGTGTTCACTAGAGTCAGCGTGTTGAACGCGTGCCCTGGTGCCCCGTCTCATGACCGGAGTTCGTCCCTTGGGACCTTTCACCCCCAGACCACCCCTCGACTCCCTCTCGCAAAGCCTGCCTGGCAGTTAAGCCCAAGGCTAACCGGTCACGGAGCCCCAGAATCCACGCGATCTCTGCCTCCTCTGAAGAGGAGACTCATTCCCCTCGGAGAACTGGAGAGGATCAAGCGAGGTGACACGTGCGTCTGCACACCTGCTGACATTAAAGTGCAAAGTGCTGGTGTTTCTAGACTACTTCTTAGAGCAGCTTTAGGTTCACAGCAAATCCCAGCAGACGGGAGAGACGCCCCCTCTGCCCCCCGACCCCACACGTGCACAGCATCTCCCACCAGACGCGACGTTTGCTACAATCGACAGACCTGCAGGGACCGTCACCACCACCCAGGGCCCACGGTCACCCTGCGCTTCACTTCCGGGGGTTTGGACACAAGTCTGAGGACTCAGATCCACCGTGCCCGTGCCCTGCAGAACACTGTCACCGCCCCACAGATCCTCTGCGCGCTGCAGGTTCATCTCCAGGCCTGACAGCCGTGACCCTTCGTCCCCAGTCCTGTCCTTTCCAGAAGGTCACACAGTGGAGTCAGACAATACACAGCCTTTTCTGATGGCCTCCTGTCACTTGTGATGCACATCTAAGGCTCCCCAGTGTCTTTTCATAGCTCGAGAGCTCATTTCTCTTTAACGCTGAGTGATCTTTCACTGTCTGGCTACAGCACAGCTCGTTCATCTGTTCACCTACTGAAGGACATCTGGCCTGCGTCCAAGTCTTAGCAACTGTGAGTAAAGCTGCTGTAAAGGCCCATGTTTAGGTGTTCGTGGGGACATAAAATTTCAGCTCCTTTGGGTAAATACGCAGGCCACGGGGCGTGACTGCGGGGTCGTGTGGCAGGAGCACCCCGGGTTCTGAAAGAATACGGAGCCAATGACTGTCCTTGACGGCTCTTGGGCTCGAGTCTGCAGACCCAGGAGAGGACCCTCCCCTCCCTCGCCCCCTGGGGTGGCGGGGCCGTGCCCCGGCCCTCCGCCTTGGCCCGCACCTCCTAGAAGTCGGACACGGGGCCTGGCACATTCTGGGCACAGATAAAAACCTGCAATCGCTGTCCTTCGCCCCCACTTCCGTTTTCAGTCTGCGGCTGGAGGGCCTACCTCTGGGTGTGGCCTCCGAGGCACTGAGGGCTCCCTGGATGACCGCCTGGGCCTCAGAGTTCTTCTTCTTCAGAAAGTCAATGGTTTCTCGTAGGTCCAGCAGCTCGGTGTCCTCAGAGAGGAAGGAAAGCAGGGTCACTGTAGGGACGGGGAGCACCTACAATGCGGCCGGCAAGGGGCCCTGGGATCTTCAGACCGGACGGAGAAGGCAGGGAGCTGGGACAGCTGTGTCGTGCGGCAGCGGGGAGCTCGGGTGACGGGGTTGGGGGGGTGGCTACTGCTCAGGACCAGGCAGGAGGTTAGCCTCGGCCCGTGCGTCCAGGACCCCTCCCACCCCTGGCCCCTCACCTTCTCCTCGGCCGTCTCTGCCAGGTGTCGTAGGCGGGACGTCATGTTCACCAGGCTCTGCTCAAAAGCTGCCACGAGGTTAGCCTGAAACAAAAGGTCAGGAGATGCCCGGCTGCCCGGGTTGGGGCCGGAGGGCACGGGAGCGGGAGGCTGTCGGAGATGACTGTGTCTGAGCTGACCAGGCCCAACCCCTCTTGGTGGTTTTTCCATGTTGCTCTTCCTGAGCAACAGGGTGGAATCAAACACCTTTCGGGCCTGAGAGAAACTTCTGGAATTTCCTTGAGTAAGGGAGTGGCCCAGACAGCACCCGGGCAGGCAGGCCTGGGGAGGCGCTCAGAGACCGGGCAGCAGCGTCTGCAGAGCTGGGATGTCCCTCTGCTCTAAGGGGGCCACCAGCTCGGGGGCTATCGTCCTGGGGCGACTCCTCCACGGCCGGACAGGCAGCCCCAGGGCCCCGTCACCTCCCAGTAGGAGCAGTTCGGGCCACCTCTCCCGGGCCTCCGTCCTGGCTGCCCTCCCCCTCACCCCGCTGTCCTGGGCTGCCTTTTCGGGGCTGGGGAAGCTGCTTGGGCGGCTACAGGGGCAGTTCCCAGCCTGGCCACTAGGGGTCGCCCTGCACCGCGAGGTGCCAGGGGGCCTGGAGAGGTGGGGGGTGGGGCGGCTCTGGACCAGAGGGGAATCCCTCTGGGAGGAACAGCGGTCAGTGGGGAGCATCTGAGCAAACTGGGACCCAGCAGAGGGGACACACTCCACACACAGCTCCGGGTGTCTGCGACCCCCACTGCTTCGTCCCTGCTGGGGTCATCGCTCGGGCCCAGGCCAGGGCTCCTCGCTGGCCGTGCAGGGAGCACCTGCCTCCTTGGCCTCAGGTCACCTCCTGTGTGTCACTGGTGAACAGACACGCCCTGGAGGGAGGCCCGAGACCCCTGGCCCCGTGAGGGCTTTTCTGTGCTGGCCTCCCCCACCCCCGGGCCTCCCGTAACCCCGGCCCCACTCGAGGGCCTGTGCGACCTCGGGCTAAGCACACAGCCGAGAGGCTGCGTGGGGGTTGGGTGGTCTGGGCCCTCCCTGCCCAGGGTGTGCCCCAGTGGGGGCCGCAGGGAGTCCCAGGGTCCTGAGGGGGGCAGCGAGCCTTCCAGAGTCCTGGCACCACGCCTCTTGCCTGAGGGCTGGGCTGCGACCAGAGGGAAGCAGCCTCTGAAGTTCAGGACCGTGTTGTGACTGGGTGTCTAGTGTGTTCTCTCTTAGCCAAAGGGAACCTCCTGTTCTAAGAAAAATCACCCTCTAAATTCACCTTCCTGGCTCTTACCCAGACCCGACAGCACTGTGCTGACAGAGTGCGGTGTAGACGGATCAGCACGGTGACGACAGAGTGCAGTGTAGACGGATCTCTTCCCCTTTTGTCCCCCCGCCACATCCCCCGGACACAGATCTCCTGATCTCCTGGGCTGTGGGACGGCCCCAGGCCCAGCCGCGGTGGGTAGGGCACAAGGCAGAGGAGAGGGGCTTCTTGCTTCTGTTAAGATTCTTTCGGTCCCCAGTTCCCCAGCTGTGGGGACAAGGGCTTGATGGGGCTTCTCACCGGCCGGGAAGCTCATGGCTGACCGACCAAGGTTTTGGGAAGAGACAGAGAACACCCAGAGACGGAGAGAGCTGCTGTTGAAATGCCCTGGCGGAGCCTCTTCCTCCTGCCCGACTTCAAGGGGAGCCCTGGGCCTGACAGCTGGGCTCCCTAGATGGGAAGAGCGGAAGAGGCGCCTGAAATGACCACGGAAGTCGCAGCCGCACTGCCTTTTGTGCAAACACTTGGAAGCCCTGCAGATCCGGCTCAGCTGGTGTTTACAGCCTGGGGGAGAATGGCTCCCATGTTCTCCGTCTGCAGCTTGGCCCCAGGGGAGAGGCCACCGCCTAGTCCGGGAAGCACCTCTTTTCTTTCCGCCTCATGGGTGGAGAAACCCAAGCTGAGGGGCTGTGCTCGGACAGGCCGAGGGCCTCCGCCTATAGCTCAAGGGTCCAAGGACACTGCTGAGAAAAGAGCCTCCAAGAACCAGGCTGGGGTCTCAGTGTCATGTCCCAGCCGGGCCTGTCGCTAGCTCTGCACTGCCCAGTCCAGTGACGGACGCGCCCAGGGCAGAGGCAGAGGGTTCCCGGATGGATGACTGTAACCCGTGACTCCTCCCGCCCACGGCCGAGGTGAGGTTGTTCCCACCTCCACTGAGCACCTCCCACTGACAATCTTTTCTTCTTTCTCCAGGGACTTCAAAGACCAGCAGACGTGAACGCCTTCACACCCATTCGCCAGGGCGGGGGCAAAAGCGGTTCTTTACAGACACCCAGACTCAGAGGGGGAGAAGGCCTGTCCCCACGTCGAGGCCCACAGGACAGACAGCTCATGAGGCAGCTCCCTGCTGCGGGAACACATCTAACTTAGGGCCAGACAACCAGCTGGCCCGTCCCCGACTCGCCGGGACTCACGTTGGCGGAAAGCTGGGACGTCAAGGTGGCCACTTTTTCCTGGGATGATTCCAGTTCCCTACGGAGCTTCCGGATTTGCTGTGGAGGAAGAGAGACAGCAACTGATGGTGGCAGCAGACGTGGTTAAAGTCGGGAAGGAGACGGGGCGCGGTGGTGTTAACAAGCGGGACGAGGGCTCGGCACCCTACCTCAGACTGCATCCTCTCCTCAGCCTGCAGAAGGGAGCACGGGAGGAGAGAGAGAGAGGAGGCGGTTACTCCGGGGGTGGAGGGTGGGCAGAGGACTCGAGGAAGCGTGACCAGAGGCGCGAAGAGGCTGGAACCCTGTCTCCGGCCCTGGCTGCTCGCGGGTGGCTCAGACCCCACGCCACGCTCTAATAAAAGACTTCTCCTGAGCCTGTCTCCAGCCAGCTTTGTCATCGCCAAGAAGGCTGGGCAGTGGGACCTCCGCTGACCTGGAGACCGACCCTTACGGCCACCGATCTGGAGCGAAGCACTGGGGGCAGAGTGAGCCCAAGAACCAACCGACACTGAACAGCCCAAGGAGGGGACGCTCGCGCGCTGCTAGGTTCCGAGGCCCTGGGAAGCCACCCTCTCACCCTGCTGTGGGCGCTGCCCGCGCCCCAAGCACAGAGCACCTCTCCAACACAGGGTCCAACATGCGTTCTTCAGAGGAGGGGCACAGAAGGCAGCAGAGCTGCTCGGGAACTGGCGGCGAGGCCAGAAAGACCCCTCACTGAGGGTGCCGGGCGTCCCCACCCCACCCCGATCCGGGCGTGGCCGAGACAGCTGCGCCTGCCCCTGCCCAGCCCTCACCCCCGGGGGGCTCTGGGCGCAGCGGGGGGGG